CTTGCTGTCTAAGCCCCGTGCCAGACAGTCCTGCTCGCTGACTGCATAGACCACTTGCTGTCTAAGCCCCGTGCCAGACAGTCCTGCTCGCTGACTGCATAGACCACTTGCTGTCTAAGCCCCGTGCCAGACAGTCCTGCTCGCTGACTGCATAGACCACTTGCTGTCTAAGCCCCGTGCCAGACAGTTCTGCTCGCTGACTGCATAGACCCTCACAGCCTTCCTCAGATGTCCTCATACAGTGAGGTGAGTGAGAAGCCAGGATCCATCAGCCAGCCCAGCCCAGCCTACTGGGAGAAGGCAACTCACAAGTCAAATGGGACTGGGGAGGAACAGCTGGTGGCTTTAATGCCATGTTTAGCCACATGGGGGAGCCCTGGCACCATCTGCAGGCTCCAGTAACTGATCTACTGTGGTTTCACCAGCCAAAATCAAACATCCTAATGTCAACACTGCTCTTTGAAGACATTTCCTCCAGACACACACATATTGACAGCAGAAGCTATATGTAGCTACAAAGCTAAAAGCAATGAAATGTGCAGTTTGCCCCTTTATTTCCACATAAAACCATCAACCAATCAGGGCAGAGACAATAAGACTCAATCATTAAAATCTCCCAGAGACCGGTCACACTTTACAGCCCTTGGGGGGGGTTCAGTTGGGTGGGTCTCAGTGCTCATCATCGCACCGTGGAGACCGGACTCACTTGGTGCCGAGTACGGCCACGCCCACCGTGCTCCGCGGCGTCGCCATGCTGGCCACGAAGCCCCACTGCCGGGCCTGGGGGTCCCAGCGCTCCACCGTGCTCAGGTAGCTCCAGCCGTCGTGACCCCCCACCGCGTACATGGGGCCCCCCAGGACGGCGACACCTGCGCGAGGACACATGGCGTCAGCAGGCAGGGAGGCGCAAGGCGCTGGCGGAGCGGGGCGGGGGGGGCTCACCCAGGCCGTGCCTGTGCGTGGACATGGGGGGCATCACGCTCCAGCTGCGACTCTGCGGGTTGTAGCATTCCACCGTGTTCAGTGTCTTCAGGCCGTCGCGCCCCCCCACCACGTAAAGCCGGCCCTCCAGCACGGCCACCCCAAACTGCAGCCGCCGGCCGCTCATCACTGCCACCTGCCTCCAGGAGTCTTTACGCAGGCAGTACTGCTCGATGCTGGTGGCACCTGGAGGGAGTCACGGGCGGCGTTAGCCCCGGGGGCCCCGGAGACGGGAGGTGGGACGGATAGGGCTCCCGGGGGCAGGGGGAGGTGGACGGAGCCCCCAGGGGAAGATGGACGGGGGCCCTCGGAAGCTGGGGGGCTCTAGAAGTGTGGGGAGGCGAGTTTGTCCTGTAATTATCATTTCCCCATTTAATTAAGGAAAGCTCAGAGTATGACGTGAAATAACACTACAAATACCAGTAATACGATTAAAGTGTTGACATTACAGCGAGTGTGAGGTGCGGGGGAGGGACTCAGGGGGGGGATAAAGGAGGGGGCCCACCTTTGGTGGCGTCCATGCCGCCCACGGCGAACAGCGTCCCCACGGTGGCCTTGCGGGGCCGTGTGCGGGGGCTCTGCAGCAGCGAGCGCCGCTCGGGAAGCAAGTGGTACTTCATGGCCTCCATGAGGAGGTGCTGGCAATCCACACTGTCCCTCAGCAGGGGGCTGGACTCCACGTCGGCCAGGAACTGCGGGCCGGCAGCACAGCTCTGACATCATCGCACCAACGACTTGGGCGGCGCTTACTGTGCCTTTCCTTCATTAACCGAAAGAATCAGCTCCCCACCCATGTGACGACAATCATGTGACCGCTATCCCCCCCCGTTTCAGACACGGCGCGGCTGTGGAAAAACAAAGGCACGCCGATAAGCCGTAGACCCCCCCCCCCCCCACCCACCCGCACCCCCCTTCAGGGGGGAAAGAGAAACAAAGAGAAGGAGTGCGAGGCAGTTATTTCCATTAGAGTCGGGGTCACATGACACCCCCGCGAGCTGGCAGAGGGACAGCATCATTTACATTTAGATGGGAACTGCTTGAGGCGGCGTGTTTTCAATAAACAAGACACCCGGCACCCATTCGGCATACGTTCCGTTTCCTGCTCATCTGCTAAAGGCGGCCGACTCTTAAAGGGACGGGCAGCATCGCAGCGAAGACTACGCTGAGCTGGGACACGTAGGCGCCAAAGGGGTTTACATCTCCAGTTCACACCTGCGGTGCCGAGAGTGTCCGCGACGCACCCCCTCTAAATCTGGACCGGGGGGGGCGGCCCGCGCACAGCAAGCTCAGCGGGGCCCCCTTAAGGCCAGAAGTGGCACAGCGATAGGAAGGCTCCACTGTGGTCTGTTATCTGCCTCTCCAGGCTGGGGTGTGTAGGAAATCCCCACAGCGAGAAAGCATGTTAATATGATCCAGCTTTTCACGCCCCCCCACACCATCCCCCGAAATAATTCAATTACTCAGAGGCGAGTAAGAGGCAGAATGCAGGCGGCCGCTGGCAAGCGAGCGAGCGACGGGGCGTGTGGCGGAGATGAGTAATGCGCTGCGGGCCGTCAGGCAGGCCCCCCCTCCAAGCGGCAGGGGCGCCCCCCAGATGCGCCTGCCTGAAAAGCGTCTAACCCCAACCCAAACCACTACGCCCCCCGCGATCCTCACCTGCGGCGAAAGCAGGGGCAGCCGCACATGCGCCAGCAGCCGGGGCAGGCAGCACTGCCGGGCTGCGCAGTCATACTGCACCCAGCTCAGCAGAGCCCCCATCGCAGTCTCCTCGTCCGGCACGTTCATGTCGTCTGACAGCAGCAGCTTCTCCACCTCCCCGGGGGGCAGCAGCTGGAACTCCTGGTTCCTCATCACCTCCAGGAAGTGCTCCTGTTGGGGGGGGGGGGGGGGGGGGGGGGCGGAGTCACTGGGCTGCAGCAGGAGGAAAAGCTCCTCGGACCAACGCCACAGCATTATATTACCATGCTGATAAAGTCCAAAGCAAACAAATATGGGAAGAGTAGGAGCGCGAGACAGTGAGTGTGTGTGACAAGGTGGGAAAGGCAGAGAGTGACAGAGTGACAGAAAGGGTGACAGAGAGAGAAATCACCGACAGAGCGACATTAAGAACAGAATCGTGAAGTTGCTTCCTAAATGACTGTTAAGTGTCCAAACGAGCTAATTAACCCTACAGAGAGTGATTTCGCACGGAAAGGGGACACGGGTTTCTCTGACCAATCAACTTAGAGGCCGGCGGAGTCCAACCCCCCCCCCTCTTCCACACACACACACACACACACACACACACACTTCCCTTTGAAAGGGAACATGACGCACAGTTTCAGGACATCGAGCTGTCAGTGTCTACTCGCGAAAACACATCTCCAGATGTCTCTGCATGCCAGATGCCGTTTCTGGGTAATCGCTCCATCTGTGATAAATGTTCTCGGCTCCAGAGAAACCCGCTTTTCATCAGACCTGAAAACGCGGCGCACGCATAAATTAGCCTGCTTAGAGCAGGACGGCCCACGAGCCTTGCTCTGTCAGTCAGAGGGGCGCCCCCTGGTGTTGAATGACGGGTACGCAAAGGCTGGACGAGCGTGGGTGAGGGAGGAGAATCTGTTTCACAAGCTCACAGCAAACTAACAACCTCTCTACTCCTGCGCCATTAGTGATCCCTGGGAGACGTCGTCCTGGATAAGTGCAAAACACATCAGTAGATGTTTGCCAGTCATACGGAATCGGACAGATGGGGGGGTAAGCACTCAGGCAAGCTCAGACACACGGCCTGTGAAAGGCTGGGGGGGCGCTCAGAGGAGCGGGCTCCCCCAGGGGAGGGTGAGCGGCTCACCATGGTGTAGCTGTGCGCCACCTTGTGGAGCTCCTGGCAGCCCTGCGCGTCGGCGAAGGAGCGGATGCCCAGGCAGTTCGAGGGATGCAGCTGCTTGACCAGGAAGTTGCAGCAGGCCTGCACCACAGTGGACAGCTGCAGCAGGCAGGATGCAGCCAGCAGGCTCTCGATGGTGTCCTCCCGCAGCTGCAGCCGACCTGCAGGGGAACGGCGGCGTGAGGCAGTGACTGGCGAAGCGGCGGCTCGCGTTCCGCTTGCGGCTTACAGGGAATCCTCACGCGGGGCCGGCAAACCTGTGTAAGCGTACTGCACCAAAGCCCATAATGCGTCGGGGTCCACGCCCTCCATCTTCACCTCCTCCTGTGTGGCCTCGCGGACGTTGCTGGTGAACATGGCGGCGAAGTAGTCAGACACCGAGGAGAGGACGAGTCTGAGGAGAGAACCGCGGGGGGGGTCATAACGGCACCCGGAACAGAGTTCAGCTCACATCCCGCAGCAGGAACTGAAGAAGCAGGCTGGAAGGTAAAGAGCCCACTGCGGACCTGAAACACCTGAGCCGCTGTCCCCAATACGGGGGGGGGTCCTGGGATGACCCCTTTATCCTAGTGTAATATCACACACTTAACACTCTGGAATCAAAGGAGACGCGCCCTTGGCAAACGGCTGCCATGAAACACAGAGGCATGTGGGGGGTCAAAGGACGAGAGAGACGGAGACGTGAGAGAAAGGGAGGGCTTTGCCATACAGCAAACGTCACATGGCTCTGTGTTGGGTACCTGGGGAGAGGGATTCCTCTCCCTCTCACCCCCTCCACCAACAGATTGAGACATCAGCAAATCCTCAAACTTCCGCTGAAACGTCAACATTTCCAAACATTATCTAAGACAGCATCAGTCCCGCAGCAGAAAGCCGCGAGCTGGGAGCTGACAGGAGGCGCCGGACTGAAACAGGTGCAGCGCTGACGTGTGGCAGGCCCTGCAGGAGGCAGGCCCTGCAGGAGGCCTGCCCTCCCCCCTACATGGCTGTCAGGGCCCGTCTTTCAGCGGTGCAGGTGCAGGTATGCCGGATGGGTTCCCCGTTCGGATAGCTCTCTGACGAGCGTCGCCATCCCTCCTGCCAGACACAGCCCCCCTCTCCCTGTCACCCGACTGCACGGCACGTCTGCGTGTGTTGGCATGGAAACGGCGTGGAGCGGCGCGGCGGCTATGCAGACCTGTGGGCAGCGATGCGGCGCTCGCCGGCCAGGAGCACCACGTCGCACAGCTGCTTGCACCTCAGGTAGCTCTCCATCTTGCTGAAGGCCTGCTCGGCGTGGCTCAGAGCCTGGAAGTGCTCCTCAGGGACACAGGCCTCCATGGTGTGGGTGGAGGACAGGGTCTGGCTGCTGGAGCTCCTACGGGGAAACGGTGAGGGGCGTCAGGGACACGGCTGGGGCAGCTGATCGTACCACGGTAATGGCTAATAGCCCGACCGCACAGAAGCGGCACGGCGGCCATCTTGGACGTCTCGCACACAGCAGGAAGCAGGACCTGGAAAAGCGCGTCCGGATCGATTGTCCCTGTCCGACAAGCCCACAGCTCTGCTCGCAACACGAGATGCTCTCTCTCAGAGATCAGGCACCCAGTTTCACGGCCGGCAGCCTCGGAGCCCAGGATCCGGAACGCCGAGCCGGGGAGCGGCCCCCAGGAAACGTTCCACCTGACCGTCCTTATAAGCACCCCCCGGACGGCCAGGAAAGTGCCGCGTTCCTACTGCCGGGTATCAAAGGGAAAACGAGGCCATTTGCTCTTCACATTTTTAAGTGTGATGTGGCTTCTGAAACCGTCCCTTCGCCAGCGGCATCCCTTGATGGTGTGTTGGGGGAGGCCATTTTTAGCTAACAGAGCACTTGGCTGAACCAGGAAAGCCATGCCGGGTTATTTTAAACTTCCCCAATGCTCTTGAGTGGAGGCCTCTGAGAAGCTGCGAGTGGGGATCAGCCACCACAGGCCCCGGCTAGAGATGACAGTCCCCCTCGCACTGACACGGACCTCCATCTGTTTGTGCCTAAGGACCGTCCCATGTGGCGTATGTGATAAATGGGTTATTACTGTCTTGTTCTGGGTGGACTGGGTGGTGCCCCAACCAACACAAACACCCCCCCCCCCCCAGTACCCCTCAGGTTTATGGGAAAAAAACGCTGCGTCACGCTATGGAGAAAATGTGCAATGGGTGTGACTGAACACTGGTCCCATCGTGACACCAACTGCATCAGATGGGACAGAGCTCCGGGTTCTCCTCATCAATAGAGGGGAGGGGCAATAAGGGGTGGGGGAGGGCAGATAGAGAACATTACTCGCACTGACGTCCAATAAACAGCCAATTCCTGTCAGCGGGCAGCACTTACACGTGTAATCGCAGCAGCAGCAGCATGGAGCAGCCAGGCGGCCAATGATCAGCCTCCCGCGGGGCTCAGAATGTTATGGGTACCTGTAACATCACGCCCCCT